TTGCAACGATGGGAAAAGTAATTCATTAGATTACTCCGTTACTGAAAAAATAACGCCGTTAGTAACGCCGTTATACTTAAACGCCGTTACTCCCAACACTGCTCATATACCTCCCATTAGCCTGTGTCCTTATTCAGCTTAACACTAACTCATTACTAACTTGTTCCCTACTTGAATCTAGAAGGTCTGCTTATATAGGCTGTACTTTGCTTACAATAGAACATCAATCTCCTTCAATACTAGTATTTTCTTTTCTTTTTTTTATCAATTTCTCTTTGTTTCTGCCTAACCCAACTACCAGTAATGTTTGTTAAAAGATATAATTACATCTTGCCTTACTTTTCAAATGTTAATATCAAAAGTGTTGGAGTTGCATTTTGCTTGAAGTATTTTTTGTATTTTTTGTAGTAATGTATGATCAGCCCTAACACCACCTGGTCATAATGTTATGCAGCCCCATACCCACAAACTGTGATGTACTGTGTGTTCTGACACCTTTCTATCAGAACCAGCATTAACTTTTTACTAGGGTTTTTCACTTCACCTGTCAGTGCTCATAATGTTATGGCTGATTATAATATAGTATTATCAACATGTGAATTTGCCATGTTTAATATATCAACCTGGTGTCACAGTAGATGAAGACTGAATATCAATGAAGGTAAACAAAATAAATAACATAGATATATTTCTCTCATTTAACCTCAACCCAACTCTGGCCCCCTCATATCCCACTTTAGCAGGCATGTTTCTCATTATACCACAGATTTCTGTGTGTGCGTGCTCAAAACAGGCTTTCAGTTTACTGCAGCACAGGGTTACAGGATGTTTGAGATAAGACAAATATAAACCCGATATTTTCAACAGCTATCATTACAACTGGTGAATGTAAATAAGACAGAAATACAGGCTGCTTGTCTGACTCACTACACTTGGCAGTGACACTCCTGTGTTGTGTTTCAGAAAAAGAACCACGGATTGATCATGGTGAATCTCCACAGCCATTTTATTTCCTGCAGGGAAGAAGCCAACATATCTCATGTGGCTGGTGAGGCATCCATGTTGAATGTTTTTTTTTAAGTCATCGATTGAATTCATAGTATTTAATTCTTACATCTCAGATCATTTATTATTCAACCTGGGTTTTACAGACCATTTTGATCACATTAAGAAGGTGATTGGAGCTGAGTCGATAGGAATTGGAGGGGACTTTGAAGGTGCTGTGAGGTGAGAAATATTCACTATTCAGTATGCAATGGGCTATGATCAGGATGAGTGGTAATCTTCAGAGACACAACTTACACACACACAGACTAAAATAAAACAAAGCTCATGCCACACTTATCTCTGGCACTTTCCAGACAACATGTTCAAGAGGTTGTTGTTCATTCAATTTTGTGCTTTTGTTAGCCTGTCATGATATCAGCAATTTGGCTGTCTCAGCTGTCAACAAGCTGAAAAATTGTAAATTAAAAAAAATCAATAACTTTTTACTTCTAACAGGCATAAAGAGAGAATGGTAGGCATTGAATCGGTGTGTTCCCTGCATGCAGACACAATCTAGTCCAAATAGGAATGTAAAAAGTAAAATAATATTAAAGGACCAAATTTCCCAGTGTAAATTATTATTATTACTTATTGATAACGAGTGTATGAAGTGACAGTAAAACAGTCCGAATGAGTGGTTTCTTTTGGGAATTGGAATGTGTTTTTCCTCTGCAGATTCCCGCAGGGGTTAGAGGATGTGTCAAAGTATCCTGCCCTAATACAGGAACTCCTGCATAGGAACTGGACAGAGAATGACTTGGCTTATGTCCTTCGAGGGAACTTCCTGCGAGTGTTCCAGGAGGTTGAGAGGGTGAGCTATAAGATTATTATATTTTATGTCAACAACTTCTCTGATAAATGAGGTGTAGATAGGTAATTGAAAGGCATATTTGCACATCATGTCTTGGCCAAAGGAATGAATTGGCTAGAAAAACATCCTCAGCATGTATTATTTCATTAGCAAGAGTCAAATATTTGATTCTATATATTGTATTTCTCCTAAAATAAAATAAATTTTCTGTCCTGATACAAATGCACACTAACCATCTTATTTCATGAAATAGTATTCACAAATGCATGGTTCAGAAGTTGTTTCCTATATATCGCCTCCCTCTCACTGTATTTACCCCAGGTCCGTGATCAGTTGCATTCCAACCTGCCCAGTGAGGTCCAAATCCCCTTAAAGGATGTGCAGAACCCATGCAGGCTGGTCCTCAGACCTCCTGACCAAAGACAGCTGCCCTCTGACCGGAATTCCTCCTCCAGAGCCCAACATGGACCAAAAGGTCTGCTAATCCTGGCTATAGTTCTGCTGCTTTCCAGCATATTTATGATTGAATGAATATTTAAAAAGGTAATTTAAATGCCAACCTCTGTATATACTGTAGGCCTATATGCTATACATATAAATTGGAATACACAGAACACCAGTTCTATGAAAGGCACTTTGGCATTTATTTTGGAATTTATTGATTAGATTTGTAAGATGTTGTTGAAGTTTTTATTTTATTGTGAGCTTTGGCCAAAGAGAAAACTGCCTTTGTTTCTTCTCATTTCAGTATTTTCACATAGAAATAACTGAAACAAAAACCTTCCTTGTTAAGATTCCCATTCAACACTGTATTGGCAAGTTGCCTCTTAAAGCGTGTATTCTGACAAAATGTATATTTTGATTGCTGGCAAGTGACTATGTTCAAGTTCAATTTTAACCTATGTGAAGTGTCTTTGAGTTCCTTGAAACTTGCTCTATAAATAAAATGTATTATTATGATGATGATTATTATTATTATTAATATTAAGTGGGATAATCCATTCCTATGCTTTTCTGAAAAGAAAGGGAAAACATTTTTTTATTAAAGCTAAAGTGAAGGGAAGACCAAGAGCATTTTTAGCATTGTTTGTTTTTTAATAACTGCACACCTTATCATGGTTTATCCCTTACATATAAAACACTGTTGGCTTGTACAGAATGTTTAGTCTACATAAAAATAAGCAGTTGTTCTCTACACTGTATGCTAGCCTGAAATACTGATCATACTTAGCTTTTTAGAAAAAGACCTGAAAAGACACAAAACGGGCTGAAAGTCATAATATTTGTAGTCCGGTTTCCATGGTAACAGTAAGTGTGGTTTAATACTACAGTAAACACTCCTTGAGCATCTACTTTGTCAGCAATAGCAACTGGTGTATCCGTTTACAGTACAACCAAAAAAGGCAATTTGGATCTAGGGCGGGAGTGGTGGACACCATTTACGCTGAAAACTGACAAAAACTGAAAGTCTGAAGATTGTGATTATAACATTAAATCAAGCCCTGTTTTTTGTGTGCAGAAAATCTTTTCAGGTTTGCAGAAGAAATACAAATGTTACAGTTCAAAAGTTATTCATATACACCAATAACACAAAATCTGTCCATAAAAATCATAAATTATAACTCTTAAAAACTTTATGATCTCTGGTATCCACATATACTAATGGGATTGTGTGCCACCTACTGAATACAGGACAAACAACAATCAAGCACTGTGTTCATTATCTACAGTCACTTTTTTTTTTACCTCAGTGGGGAAATGTCGAAAAAATAAATAAATAAATAGAGATGTGCTTCCAAAATAAAGAGCTGTTTCAGAATAAAAATCTGGCATATCATTAAAACAGTTGTAACAACGTGTACAACTCAGAAGAGCCAACTCGTCAAATACAGGTTTATTAGCACATATGAAGACCTATAAATAAGAAAATACTAAAGTGTGTGTTTCTCAGTTTGACACACAGGTATTGATTTCTGAGGCTAAAAAATGTATAAAATGAAAAAGGCTTTCATTTGCAAGAATGGCAGAGCCGTGAACATACAGGTGGATTTGTACACTAATGTGTCCCAATATTCTACAAGAATAGAATAAACCTCTTTTGTACTCAAAAGTCCATACTTCACACTAAAAGCATCAAATTCATGCATCTACCCAGAACCGTCTGACAGCAGAGCAGGTGCTGCCTTGTGTCCAGAGGTGGAATGTATTCTGTTGAGGCCGATGCTCCTGTGTAGCAATGTGCTATAATTGGTCATGAGTAGATAGTGATAACCTCCCGACCTCCGCCTCGGACCAGCAGCACTCTTTCCAGGCCTTCAGTCAACACCTCCAGAAACTCCATATCTGAGTTACAGGTTAAAGAAATGAACCAAACAACAGCGAGAGTAGTAAAGAGTCAGAAAACAACCGACATCTGTGGCAACATCTTGATGTCAATATGCATACACATGTACTTTAACCCAAGTGCTATATTGGCAAAGGATACAGTTCTCATCACCATCTGTGTTTCGAGGTGGACCTGGCATGTTGAGCAACACTAATCGAGCATCATGGGACCTGTTGACTATTACCTCGTTCAGTTTCACAGCCGTATGCATTCGCCGCACATTGGACTGATCCCTGGAGTGCAGCAGGACGGGAAGACACAGAGTAAAATGGATTTGTGCAAAAAAGAAACTTTGCCGAACAGAAAAATATACAAAAAGTCTAGGGTAAAATCAGGTGAAGGCTCTTCGCGTTTAATGCTACAGGTTTTATTGTTTAAATGAGACACGATAAAGATGCTGAAGATAACTGAATGTCACTCACGGTTTGAGGCTCATGAGTTCTCGGAAGTTCTCAGGCGCATTGTTCCTGTTCCGCCTCTCAGCCTCAACCTTCTCTCTTGTCCACGTCATCTGAACCTTCTCTGGAGGAGCCTCCACCACCTCCTCCTCCTCATCTGAGTATAGACTTCCCATTCGCACCAAAGAGTGTCTGTCCTTAACCAGCTGGGCCTGTGAGTGAAATGGTAGGCTCTATATGATTTATGAGGTAAGGTTGAGAAGGTTAAATTTCCCAAATTGCATCACTACAGACAACCAGTAGTGAAGATTTGAAACATGAAAACCCAGGTATCTTTAGTATATATCATGCATTATATTTTGTATTAGTTTTTTTTTTTTATCTACAAAATATTTCACACAAAAAACATACCTCTCTTTGTCTTTCTGCACTTGACAGCCTCATTTGCCTCAACATCTGGGACCTCTGCTCCATCATTAACGTCCGCTCGTAGGTGTATGCTGAGATGTCACTATCATGCTAAAGTACAAGGAAGTCATTTTAAAAGTTTATCTGGCTGAAACATATTTGTCTGTTGAACATGAACAGAGTGACCATAAAAGTAAATTAGTTCATGTTCAAGTTAAGCAGTGATTTTTGTTTTTTCTTAACACTCTAAATCTCTTTCTAACAAACACATTGACAGCATCATTGTTTTGTTCTTAATACCATAATGGACATCTGGTTTCAGTTGCTGTTTTTATTACTGATCTTGCCATAAAAGCCCTACAGTCTTCTCTTTTGTTCAGATTAGTAATTGTTTAAGAGGTAATCTCACCATCTCCACCACCTCCACCTCAGCCTCTATTCTCAGCTGATAAAGGAACGTGGCCAGATCTTTCTTCATCTGGATGCTGTTGTCATCCATCTGAGCCACAGTGAAGATGCGCATCTTGCATTTCCTCCAAACCTAAAATGCAAATAAAACCATTCGTTATTGCCACAAGTTTCAAGGATGTGAATATAATAACTTACAAAAAACATACTTCAAAAAAGTTGCCAAAGGCAACATTCTTCAAAGGGGAAAGCCTCAAGTAACCGAGACATAAATTTACATTACTTCTACAACTTCCAAAATAGCTTATTGGAATAAAAGACAAATATCTGTCATCTCACTTTATGTTGTTTGAGCAGGAAAGGCAGCAGCATTAGCATCCCCCCATCATGAACGATCCACCACACATCAATGTTGCCATCTGTGAAGCGTTCATGGTTGCTTGGGTAGAAGGACACATTTTTGGGCACCATCAGAGCCAGGTGGGCAGCTGTGGTGCAGCGGACTGTGTCTGAGTAGAGATGAAAACATGGAGTCATGGATATTAACTGTACTGTTTAAGTGAATATCCCATGAACCTTACATTCTGTATACTGTACAAGCCAGTTGAAAACTAATACAGAATGTATGTCAACATTCAAAGTTACAGAAGCTTTACAAAGCTTTTTCAGGTTAGTTGTTTGTTTAGTACATATTGATTTGTGTGAAAACTATATCACTACCAAGACTGGGCCTTTTAAGTGTCTTGTGGTATGAGCAGTATTTTAGTGAGACTCTTACTGATAAAAGTCTTCCAGGCACGAGGGTCTTCACTCTGTCTCCAGCCGTATGGCCAGCCCATTACCACAGTGTTGTGCTTCATGCCCCCCAGACCACAGGACTGGATCAGATGGACAACGCCCTCCCGCACCTTGGATGCCACCACGACCTGGCAGAAACCCTTAACTCGCTCGATCTCCATCATATTCTTAATGGCCTGGCAGAATCAATTTGGGCAAACAGAACTTTAGTCCATGACCACAACAAGCAGTAAGCAGATAAACCATATATGAACAGTTAAAAACCGCCTATGTAAAGCTTTAAAAGAAAAATGTAGGTTCATATGTCTGAATGGAGTTAAGTGCATGCCATAAAGATTTTTATTGCAAAACAATAAATAAAATCAATGCAGGTTTTACCCTCACTACTTCCCTGTATAGCACAGGCTCTAATTATAACTTCTTATATTGTACATAATGCATGAATATTGTCTTAGCACTTGAATTGTGAGTTGAGGATGAGAGATTAATTTCTCAGTTATTGTGAAATAAACAAGAGTAAACGTTGCTTCACTTGTTTAATTCTTTAGCAAACACATCATAGGGAAAAATCTTCTTCCACCAGTCCCTTATTTTATGTGAAATGGCTCATTGGCACCACATTGTACAGACAACAACAAGCTGTTTCCAGTTATGCCCTTTGATTAAAGTGAAGAATGCAAAAAAAAACAGTTGCTGAGGAAGAAATGTAACAAAAAATGTAATTTCACATTAAAGCACGTTTATGGTTCATTGTGCTTTTCAATTTACAAAAGGTGTTCATTTGTAACAATTAGTTGCAACACGGTGCAATAGAAAATTGTATAGAGCATGTACAGCAGACATCCCTTTCCGTATTTACCTGTTCAGCTGCTTGCATTTCCCCATAGCTGTCCAGGAAGTTGCCCTGGATGACAGAGCCCACGATGGTCAGACCCTTTCCTGCCTTCAGCTGTGAGGCAAAGGTGAGCAGTCGAGGATATTTCACATGAAGGTCCTCATCCAGCTTCAACAGCACCAGCAGCTGAGGCCTGAGTCAAAGACAGTCAAAATGAGGCAAAGGCTCGGATCACAGGTGTGTCTTTGGCTGAAGTGTGGAAGTTATTTAGACATTACTGTTGCTTCTACAAAATCTAAATTACATTTTAAACTGTGAATCAATCATCCTCATTACAATGTTGAAAGGGAATTATACATATGTGACCTAAACATCTAACATAGCTCTGACTTGTCTTCCAATTTATCCCAGCCACGTAGACAATTTGTTTGCTATATCCCTCTCATTCCATTCTTCGCTCCGCAATCAAAACTATCAAGAGAAACTATTATTTTGTCACTGTCATTGTATTTGGAGTGAGTGGCAAAAGAGAAAATGCTGCATCAGAGTGGTTATATTATACAGTAAAATCTGACACAGTAACTTACTGGAAATGCCCAGCAAAGATGCTTCTAATTGGAAAAACAGGCCACAAACTCCTCATCTGTTTCATGCTATTTCATTTAGAGTGCATGCATTCTTCTCATAACTGAACACAGATGTGAACACAACTTCGATAATCAAACATGCAGTGTTTATGTGGAGATAATCTCAGCATCTCCCATAGATGTAGCTGACTGTACCTCCAGTTTTTGGTGTGCGGGGGTCCAACCTCTAGTCTTAACAGTGCATATCGTGCGCCGCTAAGGGACAGTCCTCTTATTCCGTCTCCCCACTCTTTCTCTGCTCTGTTTAGACACAAACATGAGGGACGACAGACAATTCAAGTGAGCAGCCATCCACCAGCATCCACTACAGATATGCAGAGATCAAACAGAAACATTGATATCATCCCATAATATACAAGAATGCACTGTAATGGGATTCCAGACATACCCCTGGTACTCAATGTACTTGTAGATCATTCCAGCAATGCCCATGGCGACAATAGCGTAGTACCAAGACGAGATGAACATTAGAGCCAGACACATACTCATGCCAAGGAAGGACAGAGCCCTGTGGGCGTGACACATAAAGCCTGAAGTTATGTTTTTTTTGCATACCAAGGACAGTATTTACAAGTATGCATAATGCATTAGTCTTTCATGCAGGGAACTGTAGCACAAATCTCACAGAGGTGGTCTTGTTGGTCATTTTAATGCTGACAGGGAAAAACTTCCACCCCTTGTTAGAAGTATGGTGGAGATACACCTGTACTCACCAGTGGTAATATTTAAACCGTGGCCTCCAGTTGGGTGTGCGTAAAAGAGTCTGAACTGCACAAGCTAAGTTCACAAAGAGATAGCACATCAGGAAGAACCTGTCGCATAAATACAAAGAGAATTTTTAACACATTTGACATAGATAATGTCATATCATCAGTGTTGTAGTTGGCCTTAGCCAAACAGGGAAATTAAGAAAGACATGCAGATAACTAAGAAAAATGAATGTGTGCGGTGTGTGCAGTATATACTGGTCATATTGTTTGTCTTGTGTGTTGTGGACTTACATGGAAAGGATTGGTGCTACCATGTCCAGTGAGGCAATAAGGATGCCCAGCTCAGCTATGAGGCCGGTCAGTAGAAGTGCCCATGTAGGCTCTCCATTTGTCTTTCCATGACCAAACACCTGAAACAAAAAATTTGAAACGTCACATGCAGCAATGCAAATCACCTGTCATTTGGAACTGTAAGCTATTCAAATAAGTTTGCAAATCAAATGCAAACATTTCCTGCACCACGGGCTGAATGTTGTCATATGGTTTGGAAATAATTTTAAACAAATTATGGGGTGACTTTATTGTCTGAGTTTAAAGTCTGAAGTCGTCATTTCTGTCTTGAGTTAGCATAAAATGGCATTTTTTTCAGAGAATGTGAAGTGGTTACACAATCTAGCAACAATGTATACTGTCCCACCCTGAGGAAAGGAATGATATTATCCTTGGCAATGGCCTGTAAAAGTCGAGGAGCCCCAGTGAGGGACTGCAGGCCTGCCCCAACTGTAGAGAAGAAGGAGCCAATGACGATAACCCACGGGGACGGCCAGGACAGCGTTCCCACCACCAAGTTTTTTCGAACAGCATCACCAAACCTGCAAGTACATGGTGACTATATGAAACTTTTATGATGAAAGTATCTTTTTCCATTGTTAAATTATACTTTACAAAAAGTGTTTTGATAATAGTAAGACACAAATTAACTTACTTGTCTCTAAGGACTACTCCTTCAATACAAGCGCCAAACAGGACCACAGAACTGAAATCTGAATACAAGAGGTTAAGGAACTGACACGGAGATGTAAATCTGCTTTCCTATACTATTCAAAGGAGCACGATTGTTAGTTTTATTGTGTGTAGTCATCAAAATAAGGATACACACAAGTGAAGTAGTAGTAATAGCTAAGATAGTTCCCACAGGAATGGACCTTTGTGCATCACGGAGATCCCCAGATCTGTTGGAGCCTGCCATGATACCTACAGGGCAAAACACAAAGCGCATGTAAGAACTGTAACTATGCCATCCCAATGGCTGAATTAGAGGAAGCAGCACAGAGCAGTTTCACTGTGTGTAAAAATGACAACACAGCTAACATAGCTAAAGTTACAAAACTTTTTCTAATACTATAGTATAATAATAATAGCTAATAATTTAAGATTTAAGGTAAAACAAGGTGGAAAAAGTAGTTATAGTTTAACACAAACTGTAGAGTGAGGTTTGTGCCATGACAGCACTTTATGAAGCTGTTACCTGTGGCAGATGGGAAGAAGATCCCCACCAGGAGTGTGAATGATGTAGCGATGTCTGCGGACACATACATGCCAAAGTTCTCCATGGCACCATGGGCATCCACTGACTGTAGCCCCGGTTTCTCTAAGATATCCCCTTTCTGCAGGTAGTCGCCCCACATGTTTTCTAACAACAGAGAACATACATTGAAATCATTGGCAACAAGCTAACCTTAGAAGAGAGTGGCATTCTATCAAGCCTATGTGTATGAAGCAGGACATTTAAAAAAATAGTTTGATTTTGTGGAAAAAAACAACAACAAAATG